CCTTCGTATTTGGCCCGATATGTCTTGGTTCGCAATAGTCCCGTCCTGGCCTCAAACAGCAGAGAACTACCCCGAGTATTGTCATAGATCCTTTCCTTGGCGATGTGTTGCTTAAAAGTTCGATAGATCTCTAGTGCGGACTTCTTAATCATGCCCATTCTCCACATATCGGTCTCAGCTCCCTTCACCTTCTTCTTAACCAATATATATTTTTGGTTTGGCTCCCTGCTGTTTTCTAAGTACTTACCAGTCAATTTTCTGGTTCGCTTCCTCCATTTTGTATCGACATTCTTCATGTACAAGTAGCTGAATACCTTCCTAGCCCAACGCTCCTCCCCCAGATCTCTCAATCGCTTCTCAAATTTTATCTTGCTGCTAGCTTCCTTGCCCTCAAATGATGTCCATACCATATCACCTTGTACTTCCTGATTTGGTGTATTCCCATGTAATCCTAAGGCAAGCCTACATTTTCCAAGTTGCTTAATTTCTAATCTAATCTGAAACAAAACAACTTGGGCAGCAGCGTGTTATCTAGTAAGCATTGTTGGAATCACTGAAAAGGATGCCGTTAGCAGCGGCCAAAGAAGTGTACAAAGGCAACACTGGTGTACACGCCGGCCGCCAGACTAGGCTCGAGCATAAGAAGCTTGCCAAGCCAACTCCTGAACGAAACGTCTCCTGTCTCCTTTTATCCCTTATGGCTTGATTTTTCTCGAAGAATGGCTAAGGAAACGTCTTCCTAGAAGTGTGTCTCGCGGTGGGCTTCTCAAGAAGCACCAGGACGTTGGTGTTCTCCGGACGGTAATGATAACCGCTATGCTCGCCACGAAAAGCGGCGCAATCGAGGAAGCTCTTGTCGTTAGTAGAGTACGGGCGTCTACGCTGCGAGTTTTCACGTTGCAGCTGTTCACCGCGAGAGACGTTGGGCAAGCAGTTTCGTTTGTTAAACGCATCTGCACCACGCGAATTCAGTGAAAAGTGCGTATGGCAATCCCTTTGATGGACGCTAACCGCACTTGTTAAAATAGCATGCAGACGAGCATAAGCTTTGGCATGGTTCCCATTGAAGGGGGAGGGGGGCGAAGCTGCATCGCAGCGCCCTTCCTCCTTTCTATTAGTTGAGTGTTTGATACGCACCTTGCGCTCCTCCTCCCCTCTTAGGTAACGAAAGGGGGGTGGCTACCTTTTTCCCTCTTCATGCGCACGCCTGTTTGAAAAGCGTTTTGTCGCCTTACGTGAATAAGAATTCACCACAGATTGAAGATATGCGCAGAGTATCATGTAATGTGTTACAAATAATCAATAACAATTTTTTTGTAATTTGTAATAGATTTGATGTTTGTTTACGAAATCTACATTGTGGCTAATTCAGTTTCTTATTTTATAAGTAATTACCGGTGATTTGCAACATTTTTTCAACACTAATTTGTAACCAGTCTTATACAGCAGTTCTCGTACCGGAAAATTGCCACCTCCCTGTAGGAACCCCTTGTCCTGTCAGACTGCATGCCCCTACAGACAAAATTTCTTCACTTTTTCCCTTTGCCTTACGTCCAATGCCACCCGAGCGCCTACAACAGCGAAGATCGAGGCTTCACAGAGAACATGCACACAGCGAAGTCCTTCTCAACTATGAGCTGGTGTGCAAGGTGTTCTTAGCGGCTGACCTCTTAAAGCGTCCCTGAAGCGGTTTTGACGACGATAGTCTTGGGGACCTTCGACGCCAAAATGTTGGGTCTGTCTGTCTGTCTGTCTGTCTGTCTGTCTGTACCTTTTTCTGTTTGTCCACCTTTACCAGTATCCTTAACGGCACCAAAGTGACCAAACGATACTCCAAACGGCTGACCCCATCCGCAGCACCAACCAATATTGCTCAAATTTCAGCGTTCAGGATTGTGTGATTGTCAATTAAAAATCAATTATTTCGCATATCTGAGACACCATAACACGGCAATATTATGTATGGGCATTTTTTGCTAGAGAAGGCAAACTTAGGTATATATAAGGATCGTAGCCTTTATAACGCTGCGCTGCCCATGCTACGCTTGCACGAAACGGCAAGTGTTTTCAACGCTTTGCTAAGACGACAAGATGACGGCACCTACCCGTCGCCTTGCGTTCTACAACTCATCACCTCAGAGATGAGCGCACATGGTGGGGGCCCCGTTTTCCGGGATAACTGCTAGATAGCGCTCATGTCTCACGTGTTACGTGACTTGATGCGCTCGTTCACCTTCACTGCATGCTCGAGGCACTCTAACGCAGCGCCTCCAGAATACCATTCACCGATTCTCTTGCGCAGAACATGAAACAAATGTTTTGTTCGTTCTCTCCAGACGCAAGACTATCGTCTTTCGACGACATTTGCGGTGTAACATTCAGATACGGGGCCAATTTTTTCACATTCCGTTTTTGACTAGACCACTACTGGAGCAAATCATTGGCACCAGAGTTCAATCTAAACATCTACTATTAACGGAGCTACGAATATTAAAAAAACCACCCTTCCCCTCCGCTCCGCTTTTCCTCCTCAACTGCTCTAAACTCTGCCTTCGAGAACTCGAGGCTAAGCTCCGCCTTCATGGCCCCTGCGTCACGATATGGCGTGAGACTGCATACACGTTAATTCAACACCTCCGTAATCCCGCCGCCGATCTGATACAGGAAGTCTGTGCTGCGCGTACCACAGCCAATGAGATCAGCTGTAAACACTGACGTCAATGGGGCGGAGCATGTCGCTTGTGTAAAGGTGGTTAAAAACGCTTCTGGCCGAGTCGCAGCAATCTACAGTAATCTGGGGAGATTCGCAGCTTTAAAGCGTTGCAAATAATTACACAGTTTGCGCAGAGAGCGCTCAAATCAGTCTCTTAATTACCCTTGCAACTTGGTAAACCAGCCCAATGTGGTTGCAAAAAGTTGTCAAGATTGTTTCAGAGTCCCTTAACGAGCAAAATTGAAATACACGGTGACCATAACATTGTAAAATAACTCCAGTAGAAACTTAAAATTGTGAAACACGATATTAGAGAAGCCAAGTAAGCGCCGCCTTCGAGCAAACCTCCAGCTTTATCTCTATCATGCAAGCCATGGTAGTAAGTTTTAATCAAACTGTTATTCTCTTACGGCAATACACGTAAAAGAAAGATAGCAAAATAATATATTAGATTTCTGTAATTGGTCAATTACATTGCGGAGTCAATTACAATTTAAAGAAAATAATCTCAGAGGTAATCTGTCAACGTTTTCTGTAACGTGCACAATTAAGTCTGGAGACGCACCTTTATGTAGTCTTCTTTCGACAGTTAATTATTTATTTGTCATCAGAAGCAGCCTATGGTTCACGAGAAGTGCCACGTTCAAAGCTACATAGCCATGAAATCTACATACAAGTTTTCGGCGGCTGTGGCATGGTGCATTTTTCTCTGTTTCCTCGTTTTTGCCATATCTCTGATGCAAAAATGTAGGCAGTCGAACGAAATCTCAGAGAATATGAGTACTGTCAACTGTTTAAACACATTACTCTTTCACAAGGAACTTCAACTCTAGACGACTTATACCCTCAATAAGACGAATACTAAAGGCTCAGTTGAGGTTTTGTACCACAATTAACTCACTCTAGAAGACACAAAGCTCCAGATAAGACGTATACTAACGGCTGCGTTAAGATTTCCACCCAAAATGGTTGTAGACCTGGTGATTTTCGACAGCGTTTTGATAGGCTTCAGTAACTGCCTGCACTAAGTACAAACAGCGTCAAAATTTAGAGGGGCCAATCTTAAATATTATCAACTTGAGAAGGCTTTTGCTGACGAAAAGGGGTAAGCCGAATCGCTAGAGGATACAGTGAAATCTATGGCTTTAGTTACTCTAATAACGCGCCAAATTGAAGAAAAACAGTCACTTTTGCTTGATGTCATGTACTAATAAATGTTTCGAAACAAGAATATGCCTATTATGTGTACAGAATTCAAAAAGTACATTTGACCACTTTCATCTAGTTGGCGTTCGTCTCATTGACCTTTCGATAATGAATCCACAATGATCTCAATTGTGCCTGTCCGTGAACCCTTTCTTTTAGGCTACCTTACTGCGGTAGTGCAGTGCTGTTGCGGCACATTGTTTTTGCTAGGGAGGCTGAGCCACCCAACTACTAGTTTCCTTTTCAAGCTTATGTGATGGCCTAATATCAACTGACTGTTATGTGTGTAAACAGTGTCTGGAAGTTTAGTTTTCTTTGGACAAACAACGGTGGTCCGAGTACCGTGCTCTTTCGGGTCTTTGTGGGCGTAGCACGCTTCCTTGATCTCGTTCCTACAGCAATCACGGCAGTGTTGCTCTAATGCTGTTCTTTTAACATCGCTGCCGTATCATGGTCAGCACATCTGCTGGCACACAGAAGAACGCAAAAAGAACAAATGAAAGTTTACAGCTAAATCAAAATAAACGAAACTCAGATAGATAGATAGATTAGATAGATAGATAGATAGATAGATAGATAGATAGATAGATAGATAGATAGATAGATAGGTAGATAGATAGATAGATAGATAGATAGATAGATAGATAGATAGATAGATAGATAGATAGATAGATAGATAGATAGATAGATAGATCCTGAGATAGATAGATTCGGCCCTCGACATCTTTCCTCACAGGTTTGCATCCTTGTTTCTAAACAAGATATTTGGCAAAAATTTTACGCCCAACAGAGTAAAGGTTTTATAAACCTGAGTGCACGAAAATGCTACTTTATGCGATCAATGAAACAGCCATTGATTGATATGAGGGTTTAACGTCCCAAAACCACCATATGATTATGAGAGACGCCGTAGTGGAGGGCTCCTAAAATTTTGACCACCTGGGGTTCTTTAACGTGCACCCAAATCTGAGCACACGGGCCTACAACATTTCCGCCTCCATAATGAAACAGCCAACTACCCTCGCTGTGATACGCACGTGGCATCATACAACTGCTCAGTCACAACACCACCTCGTCTCAGGTGAAGGTCACGCAGCGGATCGAAGGCACTAACCAGGAGGAGCAGATCCGTGTTCTTGGCCGGGGAGACTACTTCGGCGAGCAAGCGCTGTTGAGGTGAGTCATGTGCCAAAGCGTATTTATTGTACTCGCACCTTGATTTAACCGGAAGAATTCAACAACGCAGTGGCTAAATTAGATACTACAGATGAACAATGCCTACCTCATTTAGAAAGCCTAGTGATATGTTAGACACTAAATCTCTCAGAAACTAAAACACAAGAAATACACATCGTTCAAGGCTAGGCCACCGCCCTCAATCTTTAAAAACTGAGTGTTTAGCTCGACAGAATAATTTTTAATTAGTCTGACGTGGCGAGGCTTCTGAAAGAAGTTTTGAGTGCCACTCATTATATTGATTTCTCGAAAGGATGTTCCCTCTTACAGATTGTTCGTAAGCACCTGCAGCTACAAGCTAGGCAAATAACCAGGCTAACATCTCCGCAATACCACTGCTGTTTTTTATCAATATGGTCGCGTGGATTTCTGTATAGATTTTTTTCGAACTTTTACTTTGAGAAATTGACTAAGAATTGGATAATTCATTGTGGTTTACGGTAGTTCTCACCAGCTCCTCCAACTGCGCCTAAGGTAGGCGTAATAAACTGTTATGTGGAAACATACCGTTTTTTGTATGTTTATTTTTTGTATGTTACTATACTTTGGTTCATGGGTAACTCTAGGCAGACGGCTTAACTGCTCGGTGAAGTCCGCCTGTGAATGAATGTGTGTACTTGAATCTCTGACCCGGCTGGCTCTGGACGCTGAGAACTTCTAGCTCATCCTTTTGTTTGCCCTCAGGCGAGGTGGCGAACGCATCAGGGAGGCCCGGAAGAGAGCGCTGTCTTAAACACAGAAAAGCAGGTCGTAACAAGTGGTGCTCAAATATATCACAGAGCTACACATTGTGCAAGCGTTTCAATTTTTAATTCAGAAAATTAAAGTCAGAATAAATACATAGGAAGAGTGCCTGTGGATATCCTGTGCGCTTGCTTCATCGCGTCGGTGCCGAACAAGTAGTTGCGGTAAATCCATGGTATAGAATACATCACCAGTGCACTAGCGTGGAAGCAGAACCACTAAAGGTCGTTCGAGTCAAATCTAAAAAAAAGACATGCATAAGCGGTCATCCAAAGTGGGTTGTGTGAACGCCTTCTGTGAGGCGCTGATCAGACGTGATGAGGGTCACGGGAGACTAATGACCGTACAATGCATGAACCATCCTTCGGCTACATGTATGAAGGTGTCGTGATTCTGCTCTCTATGACTTGTGGCGTGAATGGTGCCACTCTTTCCGCGAATTCTTTTTAGATGCGGAAGCATCTTATACTCGCGCCTTGTAGTGCGCCGTCCGCGCCGTCCGCACCGCTTCTCGAACATTCGATAGCTGACGCGCGCGCATGCGCCGTCGCGCCGTCGCCCACTCTTCCACCATCTGTGCATCCCTTCCTCCTCTACACACCGCGCGCGCTTCACTCCTCCACCATCTGTGCACCCTTCCTCCTCTACACACCGCGTTCGACATCTACAATTCTCCTGATTCTCCAGTGGACGCGCATGTGACATCGCGCTTCGAGAACATTCAACAGCTGACAGTGCATGCGCCGTCGAGCTGTATATATACTCAAGGTCGGCGCTCGCTCGCTCAGTTGCCGCTCGTCGGTTGGTTTGTACTGCGCGTCGACGTCCAAGGTCGCGGTGAAATGAATTCCAACGAATCCACAAACACAATGATCGACGTCCCTTCGACCAGCGCCGCCCTTTCGCATACGTGTGTACGTGTTCACTCATTTAACTCCCCCTCCTACAACCACGTTAACCAATTTAGCCATCGACCCAAGTAAGTCGCAATTTAACACCCCATTTCACAACCACGTTAACCAATTTAGCCATCGACCCAAGTAAGTCGCACTTTAACACCCCGTTAACCAATTATATGCTCCGCATCCTCCTCAGTGTTCCCACGAGGGAAGCTGCGGGCAATTTTTTTTTTCCCAGTCTTCCTCTTCTGCATAATTACACCCTTGCAGGAGTGTTATAGCTGATTTATTCTCACCCAAAAGACAGTTGCCGGTCACGCTTGTTTTTTTTTTTCCATCAAGAATTATTAAAATAGTGGTTCGTGGACACGTGTCATCTGCAGCACCGCAAAGAATTGCTGAGACAAAACATCATGTCCCATTCGTTGCAAGTGTACGGCCAATATACGGTAGGCGTTTGCGTACAAATGTAGCACCACTGTTGATTTCAAAAGACTGGGCCGGCAAATACGGACACGAGAGGAAAGTCGCGACACCACAAATGACAAGTAACAGCTGCTAAGGCGTGCAACGTTGAGGAAAAAAAAAAGAAGGCGTCAAAAATTATCTGCACTTGTCTAGGCAAGAATCAAATCTATCAATCCGACACGCACAACGATGTATGTGAAAGGCAATTGTTGAGGTACTTGATTTGATGATATATGGGGTTTAACGTCCCAAAACCACCATATGATTATGAGAGACGCCGTAGTGGAGGGCTCCGGAAATTTCTACCACCTGGGGTTCTTTAACGTGCACCCAAATCTGAGCACACGGGCCTACAACATTTCCGCCTCCATCGGAAATGCAGCCGCCGCAGCCGGGATTCGAACCCGCGCCCTGCGGGTCAGCAGTCGAGTACCTTAGCCACTAGACCACCGCGGCGGGGCAAGATGTACTTTATTTCTTCTTTATTAAAGGGACGCGACGGTAGTCTCCCGCTCACGCTACCCCTACTGTCAATATGCCTCGTCTTCGATCATTAGATGCGTTTCCTCCTTCCCGTGTCTGTACAAAACGGCGTGATTGCTGCATTTTGTAGTGAATTTCAACTGTCACCAACGTAAAAATTGGTTAGCAGGGCAGCCTTTGGTTAGTGATATCTCATGTTATTTGTGGTTAACGCATCGACTCATCTGTCCTATACGTCAAAGCGGCCGCAGCTGAAGCCAACCTTATATGCACCCCACCTGTATGACTATCAGCGAATTTCTTGGTGTGTCTTCCGAAATAAATGTCAATCCGCTTCTTGTCTAGTACTTGCTCCAAATTTCTATCCACAGTTGCAGAGATCTTACCTCACTTATCAAGCCGTAAATCTGCATCGACGCCGTATCAACGTTTCTTTACCTAGGGCGATACAAAATGAATGTAAGAAGTACCTATTACATGGTTACTGTTCCTTCAAGAGTATGATCTTAATATTATTTTCTTCTACCACGCTTGAACTTGACATAACGCTCTTCCTCAACGTTCAGCGATAGTGACCCCTGAAACCCGAGGATGACCTATATATAAAAGATGCGTAATCAGCGCGTCATAAAAGATCACTAATTCGAGGCTCACAATTTATTATATTCCGAAATTTCCGAGAAAGTAAGTGCCCGCTAAACGTCTAACAGAGAAGAGTCAGAAGACGCCGAGGAATAAATAAACGCATCTATTATGTGTGAGCCAACTGTTGCTTCACTTCCTTAAATATAAAAATTGAAATGCCCGAACAGATACCTTTCACGTAGAGACGCAGGATAAATAAAGCATCTATGTGTGAGCCAACTGTGCTTCATTCCTAAATATAAAAATTGAAATGCCCGAACAGATACCTTTCACGTAGACGCCCCGCACGTGCCAGATTGATAGATTGGCCTTCTAGACTATGCGCAGGGAGTTTTCGTGCCTGCTTTTTTTCAACGTTTGTGTGCCTTCGCAGTTGCTAGTAAGTATGTTTGTGGTGTTTATGACTTCATTCTTGTGATCATGTTTGCATACCCAGTTTTTCACAATTACGAACTAGCTCAGCTCTCTTCTGTTTTAGTGTACCTGTGACCTGGAATCTGCCATTTTTTTACTTATGAAGCAGATATAAAAGCAATATGATGATTCTATTGTAAAACAAACAATGTGATTTTTTTCATCCCCCCCCCCCTCTCAGAGAAGACAAGCGCACTGCAAACGTAGTGTCCCTGGAACCCGGTGTTGAATGTCTGGCTCTGGACCGAGAGTAAGTGTATCTTATTTGAATTTAAAAGTTTACGATGAAAAACAAGATGTCGCAAAAAATAAATTTGTCATGCCTGCAGTCAGTCAAGAGGCTCCTCAAATGCGAACTACACCTTTTTTTAAAAAAAAAAACGCCAAATAAAAGCACGTTAGAAAAATAGCCTATTTGGAATTGAGAATAAATACGTGTTACAAGTTTTACTGCATTGCGATAGTTTGCTAGATTTGAAATCAGGAAAGGAATCCCTATTGCACGCGTGTGTCAATGCAGCAATAAACGGACCTAAATCCAAGATTGAGTGGTATCAGGTTTTATTACGCTGAACTGTTGGAACGCATGAGTCTTGTAAGTGGGGGTAGTGTAATCTAAAAGCAAATGAAGGTAAATTTCACAAGCATGTGCGAGGGATAAACAGTTAGCAAGGGTTATCACTCTACTTTTTGAAAACATAGCACCTGTCACCTCTGGCCGCTTTGAGAAATGCCGTATATTAGTTTGTGAGAAGGTACGTAGACAAACGTTGTTGACTCTGGACGAAAATTGGAGGCAAGATATGAAACTTGTCATTGGTACACTCAAGCTCGCTATCTTTAGGTTCTCAATTTGGTTCGTTGTTCTGTCGGCGTAAACAATGAATCTTGTTGTTATAGAGCCAAATTTTGTTTTAAATTGCATCTAAATAGGAATATTCTAAAAACTGCTGTGCGTATGGTAGCTTAAATTTGCTTAGATTTTTATTCGTGCTATTTTTGACATTAAACATTCAATTGGACATAAGAAGGAGTGGCCAATAATAAGTAATCCTTGCTTTCACCGGTGGACTACTTATTTTTTTTCAAAGGCCAGGTGAACAGAGGTGCGGAAAAAACAAGTTCCAAATGGTCGTTCTTCCGTTGCGACCTGGCGTAGCTCTGTAGTAAAATGCTTCGTTTCCACACAGAATGTTTGAGTTCTATTTCAGCTGGGACCCTAACATTATTTATTTCCATTCGTCAGGTAGACGGTACCGATGTCGAGTATTTCTTAATGCTCGCGTGTTAAACACGCCTATGTGAAATCTCGCCGTTCCTGAGTAGATACTAATTGTCAATCACCTGTGGCACATACCCGCATACCAGTGGCACATACCCGCCCGTGCTTATGTGCCACCGTCAGGTGAGAGAGAGAGAGAAACGAGAAAAAAAGGAAGGCAGGGAGGTTAACCAGATGCTAGTATCCGGCATGCTACCCTACACTGGGGTTGGGGAATAGGGGAGAGTCCGGTGAGATTTGTTTAAGGACATGCGCAACGGGATTGTGACATTAATCATGTCTTGATCAGCGTGTCATATTCGTCAAACCATCCTACCCTTCCAAGCTAATTTTATTTCGCGCCAAGTTAAGGGGCTGACCACGAGAGCATCCAAACGTAACTCGCTAGATAGATAGATAGATAGATAGATAGATAGATAGATAGATAGATAGATAGATAGATAGATAGATAGATAGATAGATAGATAGATAGATACGCTCAAAGTCACCGAAGTTCGCTGAGAAACGCTTAACATTTATTATCCGGCACATCTCACACATTGTTGGGATGAATCTCATGTGAAGGACTGATCAGGCCTGGGTAAGATTTTTCACGTTGTGCGAAGGCGCATCGATGTCTTCATGCAAACTTAGTAGTTCGCATATCGCGAGCTGGACGCACGTCGACTACGCCGGCGTGCGTCATGGTGAGTGAGGCACAGTGCCACTCGCACACAAACACAGAGACAAACGCGCACACAGACACACAAAAACAAACACGAGTACACGCACACACACACATACACACGCAGACACGCACGCACATACGTAGACACACAAATTCTGTCTGGGTGTACAAGCATGTGCACACAGACACAAACCCACACAGACACGCACGTGAACACACAAACGCACGCACACGCAGACACCCACAAATCATGGACACGCTGACTCTCGCACGCATGCACACACTGAAAAATCGGTAGGCGCACACGTACGCACACACAGCGAGCAAGATACATTTACTGTAAAGTTTCGATAGAAAATAGCAACCCTATTATAGTATATAGCAAATATATTTATATATGAGGTTTTGCCCCGCCGCGGTGTTCTTGCGGCTAAAGTACTCGGCGACTGATCCGAAGGTCGTGTGATTGAATCCCAGCTGCGGCAACTGCACTTCAATGGAGGCAAAATCGTTATGATCGGCTTAGCTCGGAACCTCGAAAACATTGAAGGACTGAGACATCCCATCTACGCAGACTATGTTACAATCTGGGTGACAAGAGGATCTCTAGGCCAAAAACAAGATCTTCTGCAACGCGCAGCTGATACAGTTCACGACTACGTGCGTCAATGGGGCCTCGTCTGCTCTCCGGAGAAATCAGAAGTCCTGAGAGTCTACAGACGAGGATACGATCTGCAAAACTCCATAGACGTCTATATAGGGGAAAAGATGATTGCACAAGTGTCCTGAATTAAGATTCTCGGCATGTGGATACAAAGCAACTGTCGTATAGACCACACCATCAGACAGCTGTCAAACAGTACAGCGCAAATCACGAGGATGATCACCAGAATCTCTAACGAAAGACGGGGTATGAAGGAGGAGGACACTTGTTGGCTTGTACAGGCCCTCGTGGTCATTAGGATTGTATACAGTGTCCCCTACCAAACACCACTCCCACAGGAAAAAGAACAATTAGAGGCGATCCTCAGAAAAGCCTACAAGTGCGCCTTTGGTCTACCTGTCAGAACCTCGACAGAGAAATTCCTTAAACTCGGGATAAACAACACAGTGCAAGAACACTTCGAGGCGCATCTTGTTGCGCAGAAAGTGGGATTACTGTTGACTGCTACGGTCAGGTACATATTGCAGACATTGGGCATGAAGGATGCTTGTGGAGAAATTAATAACACGGCGAGCATACCAAAGGACATTCGCCAGATTACTGAAGTCAGCCCAATACCTCGAAACATGCATCCAGAAATCCATAAGGCTCGAAGAAAAGCCAGATCAGAAGCACAAGAAAAAATTTCAAGGCGAGAATCAATGTTTTGTACGTTGACGCGACCACATACAGAGAGCACTCCGGCATAGTTGTAAGCGTTGTTGATCACCAACTTAGGGAAGTCAACAGCGCTTCGATCAAAAGCAACAACATCCTCGAGGCTGAGGAAGTAGCCATCGCGCTCGCCATCACACACCAGAGCAAAAAGTCTACTACAGAAATGGTTAGTGACTCGCAAGAAGCGTGTCGACGGTACAGCAGTGGACGCATATCCAGTGCTGCCATTCGCATACTCAAGGGAAGAAAAATCAACTTCTTGAGCTGCTCCATTACGTGGACACCAGGCTATGAAACTGTGACAGGGAACCAGCATGCCGACGCCATTGCCCGAGAATACACCGACCGGGGGGTGCCCAATGACGAAGAACCAGGTACAGTTACTAGACGCTATGGAGCAATTTTAGAACAACAGAGAGCCCTGAAGAAGATATACCCTCCTCTCCACAAAGACCTCAACAGAGAGCAGTCGGTTGCCTGGAGACAGCTGCAGACTATTACGTACCCCAATCTCAGTATTCTGAGTAAAATCTATCCGGGAATATACACCAACAAATACCCGCTATGCAGAGAACACCCCACACTTTACCACGTGACATGGGCCTGCCAACACACACAGGTAGTGCCAAGAAACTGTACACCAACACCTAAGCAGCGTGAGGCTGCGCTGTCCTGCTCTAAGCCTGAAGAACAGGTCAAGGTGATCGACAGAGCTTGCAAGATGGCAAAGGCCACAGGGGCCCTGGACTGAGGGCTCCACTTTCACCGGAAAAACTATTTGTAATAAAGTTTTGCATTCAATGGAGGCGAAAATGCTGTAGGCCCGTGTTCTCAGATTTGAGTGCACGTTCAAGATCCCCAAGTGGTGGAAATGAAAAAATTGTAGCTTTATAGATAAACGCTCCCCTCCCCCCTGCTCCCAACCATGCATCAACAACGAAAGTGGGTCGGTGATTGCTTGAAAGTCTTATTTATTTTCTCGTAAATGTGTTTATTCGAACATTCATCATGTTTTTTTTCGAACAAGCAACCTGCTCATCCCGTGAGAGATGCCTGCGACGCGGGTAGACAGCGGCGCTGTTCGCTTATGCATGAATACGTGTTTTCTCTGGTACTACCACAGTATTTTGTACTTCATATTGAGAGTCGTTCTTTGTTTATTCATCGTTGAAAACAGAAAGTTTCAATTTCTTCTTTTCTTGCTACCACTTTACTTTGAAGAATATACCGCGTATCCACCACTGGCTGTGCCAAACTCGATAGCAGCCCAACTTTCGGCGGCATGGGATTGAATTCGGTGAGGTGACGCTATTCTTTCGTATTTTTTGGTAGACGCCGTAGATTATCAACTTTATCTATTCCCTTATTTATATTCTGCAAAGTGTGATTTATGTGCTGCTGAATAGATGGCATCTGTGTGGGAAGCTAAATCTTTACGTCATGGCTCATCACGTCAAATGAAGGCTAGATTAAACAAACTCGTACATACTCTACACATTCATGCTGTTATCTTTAGTTACTGGCACAGTACCGTTGACCCATGCATTGTAGAGAATCCGTATTCCACGCAGATGCGAATCGATGATATTGTGTTTATCTCGGCAACGCCAAAGTGTTTTGTTCACTTTTTCTTGGACAATTCTTATATTATTTTACTTGGCCCGTTCATTGTTTTAGTTCGGCTTCAAGCCCATTTTTCGTTCTGCTCGCCATCTTCGATTCCAATATTCTTTCATATTGTAGCTTACGTGCAGCAACTTTTCATGTTTTGTTCAAAAGTCATGTGAACCAGCTCGTTTTTGCAGGTTGTTTCGTAGTCAATCAAACACTGGAAATCTCCACAATCGCATTGAGAATCGCGGCAGGTTAGCTGTTCAGAAGGCGTTGCGCACGAAATCTGGTTACGCTATCGCGACTTCC